TAAACCCTAAACCCAAAACCCTGCCCTTACATCCGAAACCCTTCAAGTCCCCCGAACCCCGAACGACCCCGAACCCATCAGCCCTGAGACCTTTCGCTGAAGCCCGAGCCACAGGGCCCCTTATGCCCAGACAGTGAAGGCACCTAAACCCTAAACCCTAAACCCTAAACCCTAAACCCTAAACCCTAAACCCTAAACCCTAAACCCTAAACGAAGGCATGTACCAGCCCAATGCGTCGGTGGTTGCCGGCTGTATCGACGCCTCCCAGCTCTTGGCCCCAGTGGTTTCAGTCCACGGTTCTCGGTAGTTTATTGTTTAGGGTTTAGGGTTTAGGGTTTAGGGTTTAGGGTTTAGGGTTTAGGGTTTAGGGTTTAGGGTTTAGGGTTTAGGGTTCATCATCTTCATCGTGATAATATTGATACCACTACTGCTCCGGCTACTGCTACTGCTACTACGACGACGACTACCACTACTACCACTACTACGACGACGACGACTACTACCAAACTAACACTAACGCTGACTCTAGCACTAACACGAATACTGACACTAACACGAACTGACACAATCTGAACACCAAGACTAGGACCAAAACCAAGACTAAGACTAGCCTGGCACTAGCACTAGCACTAGCACTAGCACTAGCACTAGCACTAGCACTAGCACTAGCACTAGCACTAGCACTAGCACTAGCACTCGCACTGGCACTGGCACTGGCACTGGCACTAGCACTACACTAGCACTAGCACCAGGGCTAGTGCTAGTGCTAGTGCTAGTGCTAGCACCAGCCCCAGCCATAAGGTTAACGCTGACGCTGATGCTGAGGCTAAGGCTAACGCTAATGCTAAGGCTACTTCTAATCCTAGAACTAACATGAATACCCATACATGAATATCCTCACCAATACTAGTACTAATACTAATACTGACATTCATGCGATACTAGTACTGCTACTAGCAGCAATAAGCTTCATTATCAACTTCACCATCGTCGTCGTCTGTGTTGCTTCGCACATGAGTTGCATGGCTTTCCCTCCGGATGATAACTGTCAGTTACAGCTGAATCAGCCTGTCTTCAGTGTGTGCCGGCGAAGCTTTGAAGCTTTTTGCTTCAGGTCCTGCCAATGCGGGCAGAACGCGCAGATGTGCATGTGGACAGCATCCAGGCTGCAATTGGAGGGGACAGTCTTAAGGCTGCCGCCGTGAACCTCCACAGCATTTATGAGCATTCGTGGGACAGCTGCAGGCGCTGATGTTTGAGCAACCGGAATCTTAGTCTAACTGCCACGACTACGATTGAGGCATCCCTGAACTTTGCATGACAATCGACAGGATGTGTTCACATTCAGGCAACCGTGCAAGTCTAGACCCTAGTTGGCATGCAGAGACGGCTGCCGCACCCAGGACAGCAAGGGGCGACTCGGCAAAATCTGTGCAGAGATTCAGAGGTGTAGGGAAGTATAGTTGAGAGGTGTAATCCGCGTCTAGTCTAGAATAATTACTAAGAGTATTCCCTCATACTCCCTTTCTTGGTATGGTCTAATACGCTGCAACCCTATTGTAAACAAGAAAGAGCGCCTGTAAATCAGGGCTTCGGGCTTTCTACCCAGAGACTCCAATATCCCTTAATTAAGGAATATACCTTAAATTATAGTAGGTTTTAATATGATCTAAGGTACATTCCTTAATCAAGGGATGTCCTGGAGAGGGTTCCCAGAGAGCTCAACTTACCCCTTATATAGGGTTTAGGGTTTAGGGGTTTAGGGTTTAGAGAGCCCAACTTAACCCTTAAAGAAGGAAGATGCCTTTAATAATAGGGGCCTTGAAATCATGATTTAGGGTATATTCCTTAATTGAGGCGTATTGGGCTCTCTGGGTTTCGGGGCCAACGATACGAGTTCTTGGGCGATTAGGGGTCTGATAGCATTTATGTCGTGTCTCCTGGGCTTCCGGGTTGAGGTTTATTGGTTTCGGGATTTTCTTAGCTTCGGGTTTCAGGGTGGGCACGTTGGGCTTGAGATTTTCCAGGATTTCATTGGAGTTTCCGGCCCCTACGAGTAGCTTCGCTTTTTGCGAGACTGAGGTCTATTAACACGTCGAATGCCGAGTATACAAAGCCCAGAGTTCACTCCTTGTATCTCAGAACCTGAAAGCGCTTATCCCCCAAGGCACTTGGAGGATCATGGGACTTAGTAACTAGGGTTATAAATACGGTAACTATAATTATAACCCCAATTAGGGTACTGATAACCTTACTAAGTCTCATGATCCTCCCTCAAGTTCAACACCCCAAACCCATGGCCCATGGCCTTGAAACCCTAACGCCTTCAAGCTCTGTAAATGCTCAAGCATAAGCCCTAAACCCTAGAGGCCGCAAACCTGGTACCCTAAAGCCCCCAAGCCAAACAGTATTCCCCTGCGGCTCCCCTTCATCATCATACCACGATAGTATACCCCAAAGGCTCCGTTTTCATGAGTAAGGCCCTCGTTTTCTTTTTTTTTTCAACCCTAAACCCTCAACCCTA